TAGGAGACCGAAACCTGGAAACGCGTCCAAATAATGCGTGTTTTCGGAACGCCGGAAAATACTGCACAAGCCTTCTATTACTAGAATAAGTTGATATAGTAGTTTTCTGTGATCCTGAGCAAGCTCCTAACATATGCCATACCTACCAATTCACTAATTGAAAAATTAATTACTTGAAAGTAATTATAAACTAATCATATGGAACGTTACTAATTCTGACAAATGAGCGCTTTGGCAGGAACCTTACGACATAAACCACATTTTATAATGCGATGCTTAATTTTAGCAAAAATGATTTCGTTCGCGTTTCGTGAAACACGCTGTAGACAGCGCATGTAGAAAGCGGTTGCAGTGGCCGTTGGCGCAGAGGTGCAGCACCTTGACTTTGAGGAGAGAGGTTCTGAGCCGACTCCTAGCTGGTGCGGATGATATCGATTTTTTTTTTTTATAATATGCTGATGAAACAGTTCCGTTTATAGCAGTTCTGCTCCAACCGGGAGGTAGCCCAGTTTACCAGCATTAATCTTTCCCAGGTGGCATCCAAAATGACATCTTCCAAAACTAACTGTTTTTTTTTTTGTTTTTTTTTTATGTGGCGGATTTTGAAAGTAGATTCCAATGTCTGCCAAGCACTAAACAAAGAAGAAAAAAATAAAGCTACCCTCGGTGGATGTATTTCTGGATGCCACCTGGGCGGTGTGGGGTAAAGTACATCCAAAAGGTACTTCAAGTATAGTACGAAATAAATGAGACGTGATGTACTTTAAGTAAAGTATTAAGTAAACTAGGTGCAACGTACTTGAAGGAAAGTACTTTAAATACAATGTACTTTCAAAGTAAAGTACAAGTATTTTAACACAATCTTTCATGATGCCCTTTCGTTCCCCTATAAAGTGATTTTTTTAACTGGTATGCATTGCCCAGGGGTAATCAGGGGTGCATGGACTATTTTTAAAAACAGCGGCGAGCATTTGGTAAAGTCAAGTGGCCACAGAGTAGTTATTTTCAGGAATAGAACCGAATTCAGAAGTCCCTCTTCTGAAATTGACGTCCCTTTCACTGGATTGTTGCACTAAGGGGGCTAAATGTACGAGGAGAGAGCATGACGCCAGCCCCGCAGCTTCCGCAAGCAATCCTTTCACAGAGGAGTGTCCTCTCCTTAATGAAAAAAAAAAACTGATTGTACAAGCGCGCTGGTGATAATTAATCATAATGTGACACCTGAGATTGGGGTGCAAAAAAATTAAGGAACTTTCAAATAGAAGGAAAAGACAAAAGAGAATCTCTCAAAACATTGTGACGTTCTCCTCTGTTGTCTTTTGCTTTGACTTGAAAATTAGTCTCAGGTGATACATTCTCATGTCTCAGGTCAAACCTCCCTCAGGTGATACATTATGATTGATTTTGCTGTCCTAATATTTTAAACCTCCACGCTTGCGCTGACCAAGCAAGATGTAGCGAGAGTTCAAAAAGCTACGGGAAAGCCACCCCCACAACAAATGGAGCGATGCGTCGTCTGCTCGCTTTTCTGGCAAGAGTAGAAAATCCCTCCCAGTATTTCTTCGGAGTTGACAAAGTATCATCTCGTGATACAAATTTAACAAAACCAAATTCGGGGAATGGCCTTCGAAGTCGGGAATTGTACTTTGCTCAGAAAGTACAAGACAAAAATACTTTAAGTAAAATACAAGCTCTTACTCAGAGAATGTACTTAAAGCAAAGAATAAGTTTCCTAAACCTACTTATAGTAGTACTTTAAGTACAATGTACTTGAAGTACTTCCCAACACTGCACCTGGGAAAGATTCACGCTGTAAAGGTTGGCCTCAGCCGTGGTCAGCTTCTCTGTATCGCGGCGGAGCACAGCGAGCTCAGATGCTACATCCGCAGTGGCTATGCTGTCACCCAGTCTCGTGTTTTGTGGCATTCTGGCTGCACCGCGCTCTGTCCACGTGCTTACTGACTTCGTCCTTTTCTACGCGGTAGTAACACAACTTCTACATCTTCAACATTCGACGGACGGATACCCCGCGCATACTCAAACTCGGAACTCGACGGACCAGTGCCGCCACCCCTCGGAAAGCCGAAGAATTATTTCTCCCCAGCTTTCCTAGGACGCCGCAGGTCGGCGCCACATCCCGCCCAGTTTAGGTGGGCACCCGTGCCCTAGCCCAGCCGGCAGTCGCGCGGGCTTTCCGCTTTCTCCCCTGTTTCGCCGTTCCAACTCGATGTTGATGAGGTCACACGCGATAAAGTTGTGGTATCTGCAACGAAAATTATTTTTGTTATATTAAAAATTCACTCTTCGCGAATTCAGTATAAGTGGAACTTGCGCAACGCTTTACTGCTGCGTTGTTTCTTGTGTTTTGCTCTTTTTTTTTGTTTTATACTTTTTTTATATAAAAAGTGGTTGCCATCAGGTAGCTATCGCGTTAAATATTCAAAGCCGCACCATTTTGGCAGTGCACTTCGGGAATGTGTTGCACACAAGTGCCGCGACAGCCTCCGGTGTGGACTCGGTTCCAATTACACACTCCGGTCTGGAAGCCATGCCCACAGCATAGCAACAATCACTTTTACTAGATGGGTGTAGTAATATTAGTAATATTAATAGTTTTCTGTCGCACAACGGAAAAGGTATCTCCAAAATCTGTAAAATGACGCACTGCAACTTAATTACAATCCCTGTTTTGAGTGCAATCCAAGTTAGATCACTATGAAACAATTCGCCAACACCTTTGCTTAGAACGAGGCAACGTTTCACGTTTCAACGTCAACGTTTCAACTGGGAGAAAACCCGCGGAAAGACAAACGTCTCTCTTACCCAAACGCTCAATTTCCGTCGATCAAAGCGCCAACCTTCCTGCACGCTGCGGTACTTTTTCGCAATAGCCGTTCAATGCAAGGTGATTTGCACTATGGGAGGCGAGCCGAGAGGGAGGGGTCTTTGCACCTAGACGTTAAGGTCTATGGTGATTGCGGTTAAACATTTAATGTGTGATGGTGTACTGGGCGAGTACTATATAGTCTGTTCCAATGGGGGTGACGAGATGGGGCTGATAACGTATTTGAAGATGTGACTGAGGTCCGTGGTCTCTTATAGACAAACACGCTGTTTACAAACAAATCAGCATTTTCGCACATCAGGAGTGGGCATAGCGCGTGCGCAGGAACCAGACTCGCTCAATGTGAACCGTATACATATCCGCTGTGCCGAACGCAGCGCCACCGCAGAAACGTGACCTCAGAGACACGTGTTGGTCTACAAGGACCACGGTCCTCAGTGCCGTGAGTCGGGCGCAGACGTCGCCTCCTGGCTTAAGTCAGTGGTCTAGCGTGTCGGGCCTTTGCGGCGGTGGAGCTGTCCGTGTCAAGGCCGTCACGCTTTAAGTGAAAGTAGGCGCAGGCCCACATAATGTGCGTCACGTGACATTTGCTCGAGGCACTGCTGACCTTCCGCTAGTTTGGGGCACAAATTCAGGGTTTCTGTCGATGTTGACGCGATCTTTCGATTTCTTGAGTATAAGGATAAAAAGTGAGGAAGAGGAGGAAATGAGAGCGCGCGGGGTATGGCCGAGAACCAAGCTCTGGTTGGAACGATTAGTAAGTAGAAGCAAAGGCAGCTGTTCGAACGCGAACGCCGAACGCCGGCGATCAGCGTTCGAACGCGTTCGGGTGAGTAAGACAAAGGCAGCTAACTTTGCGCCTACCCACTAATGACTCCAATTAGAGCTTCGTGTTCTGATGCCCGCCGCGCGCTCTCACCTCCTCCTCTCCCTCAGTTCCTCTCTGTATATGCAACTCTAGCAAATAGGACGGCACCTAGCGGGAAAACACTGAGCTGAACGGAAGAGGTTTTTTGGCGATTTCTGCTCGTCTTTTGTGGCTTCCGGGACAACATTTTGTCGGCGGTTGGTGGGATGAAACAGTTGTCCCAGTCACTCTGTTGTTACTGTCTTATGAGCGCGTTGCCCAGGCTATGAGCACATAGTATACATAGACACTTTTGAGCAGCTGCGAATAGGTGCCGCCATAACAGACCTTCAGTTTTTGTCTCCTCTTATTCTGCTTACTTCACTTTATTATTACCATAGCAGGCAAGGTTATTGCCATTTAGAACCTATTGTGTCCTTCGACCCATGCACTAGCGTTCGTGGAAATTCGTCAACGCCCGTTTCAGTGGCTTGGTGTCTCAATAAGACAGGAGATCAGCAATGGCGGCTGTAATCCAGCGCGTGTGCAAAGCGTCTATATGCGCTGTCGCGTGAACCAGACATCGTGCGTTTGTCAACGTTCAGCAGCCCCGTCGTCCTTCCATTGCTTCTCCGAAGAAGGTCAAGCCTCTGGAGGCTCGCTTACGACAACACATCGCCGTGGGTTCGAAACGCATTGAATAGAAATCGGGGCTACCCATTTTGTGGCCAATGCTCGCCTGTTGAAACTCAAACGTTGTGCGTTCGAGCTGGGACATTATACGGTACGACCTGTCTTGTATAGACCGCCATATTTGCCCCATAGTTGCGCCCTTTATAGGTCGCTAGAATCGCGAATAGAGCCAGGGGGATTGCACTTCCAGTACGTAGATGTCTGAGGAGCACCACCGGATGCCTCCGAAGGCACAGGTTGGCGGGGTCGACATCCTCGGCGTGTCTGCCCTTCAATCGTTTCCTGAGATGGGCCTTGGCATCATAAACTAACCCGAGTATAGGTCGTTCATAAACGCCATGGACAGATCGCAAAAACTGAATTTATCTAGTAGCGTAGACACTAGTGTATAGGATATGCTCGTTGGCCATCCGTGTTGCGTTGCTATACTCAAACCGGTTGCCGGGAAGAGTTTTAATATTTTATTAACGTAAATATTTGTGCAACAATCTTGCCACTTTTAGTATTGATGTTATTAGAAAACTACGTCTGAGGATTCTCGTATTAGACAAACTAATATTTGATCACCATATCTTTTAACGCCACTTATTTTCTTTAACGCTTGCTATATTGAAGAACATGGACGGCGCCATTGTGCTCCTATTGGGCCGGGTGCCCAGCCTGACGTCCGCCATCCAGGACTGGGCCCGCAAGAAGGCGCAGCAGTCCCTCCGTACCAGGACCTCCACCTGGTCTTCGTACACCGGCAACAACAAAGAAAAACTGCAAATACAGAGGCCAAGGTAAGGGACGAAAGATGACCGTCTCGAGAAGCACTCCTGTGTGTCTTGCGGCTGCGTCACACATCCGCATTTACTTGCAACCGAGGGAAGGCCCATTCACACACTTCCGTTTGACTACTGTCCAGGACAGACTGAGACAAGACCAGTTTTTAAGACTATTGTGACGGCTTAAGACCGACTCCGCAGCAGCGCTTCTGGTTTTAAGCCGTCGTAAGAGGCTTAAAAACCCCTCTTGTCTCAAGACCCGTTCACAAACTTGCGTTCGAAGCGACCACTATGCTTACGAACGAATGCAACCGCTGCGACTTCAACGACAACTGTGCACGACGTTTACACACACATGAAACCGCATGCAATCATGCGAATCAACAGCCAATGAGAAACGAGCTTCAGCTCTTTCTTCTAGCCAATAGTAAGCAATCCAGCTACGCTTACACATGGCGGACGGTTTCCTGCCAAGCGCGAGGTCCTCACCCGAGCAGCCGGAAGTTTCGGCCACGGCGTACAGTGACGAAGATTTGCTGTGCGCCTACAATAGCCGTGTAAAGGCTGGTTCAGACATCTGAAACAAACCCGTCATCCACGGCTGCGGCTGTTGTGACAAGAGCGACCTGAACGACCGTTCTGCGTCACGCGTACACTCCTGCAACCACTGCCACAAGCGCAGCGGGTCGGCAGCACGGCGACCGCCTCTCCCCCGCCGTCAGCTGTTTCAGCGGTGCCTCTAAAAAGAAGGGGACGCGCTGCCACTCACTTGCGTAACAGAAAATGGACAGACCGTCTACGATGACCTTAAACTTTTTTCTTTTTTTTTCAGGATACGCTTGCAGGGTAGTGCATTAAAAAAAGGAAAAGATGCAGTACGCCGTCTTGCACGATCACCACTTTAATACACGACATTTCCAATAGTACAAATCCTGCCAATCGCCTTTTCTAAGATCATAAAAGACGATGTAATTTTATCAGCGATATAGCAACGTAGAAATATAATTTCGTGATCAGATCGACGTTGCGAGCGTTCAGGATTGCTAATACTAATCACCTTTCAAGGGTGATGAAAACGCGTGAAAATTCGCATCCTTTATACGGTACGCACCAGTAATACCTTGAACTTGAGCACACGCATGGAATGCGCCACCAATGAAATCCGGGCGATGATCGAGGACACAAATGCTAAGAAAGCACCACTGTAGTCGAAGTAAACAAACACGACGGCACGGGCGTTTCTGCTGTCTTGAGAGTGCCGCCACGAAATCGCCGCCACGAATAGGTGGATTTTCCTTCTAGTACGTGCTGGGTTATCATAACGACACACGACGAAAATTCACAGTCAAGGATGGCGCGCTTTACGGGGAACGATGAGCTTCCACCACGCCGTCCACGTCGACGGTCACCACCGACGCCATGTTTCCAGATAGAAGGAGCCCGGCACGACCGGCATGCAATGCGCTCGACCGAGCTCTCCTCGACCTGTGATTGGTCTGTCGCTCCCGTTGTTCCCGAACGTTACAAAAAAGTTCAGCCCGGCTCAACACCTTGCGTTGCGAATGAACACGAACGAAACGACCGTTTTGGCGCTTCGTTGCTATGGTAACTCGTCGTTCTAACCGGTTGCATTCGTTCGTAAGCGTAGTGGTCGCTCTGAACGCAACTCTGTGAACGGGCCTTTAGTAGGTTATAGTTGGTCGAAAGTGTTTAAACCAGTCTGTCTTAAGTTCCCTTGTGATCGCTTGCGACGAGAGAGCACGCTGGCGCTATCTATCGAGTAAAACGAGAACACTTGGGATAATTACGACGATTTACGAACATTTTTTATAGGTAGAAGGTACATTTTATCTCGCAAATACTGCAAAAGCTTTCACTTAAATAGTTAACATGCAGTTCCAGGACTACCTCATAGATGGCGCCAGCAGGCCAGTGTGTTCTCTCGTGGTAAAAGAGCCCAAGGCTGCACAGCGCACTTGGTTGTGACCAAACGCAATATGTGAACCAGCGTAAAAGACTGGCTCACATATTTGTGTTTTAATGTGATTGACTACGCTGGAGACCAGTAGGGAAGACTTAGTTACGAGAGGACACACTGGCAGACTGGCACCACCCATTAGGTAGTCTTAGAACCCTTTCAATTAGGGTATAACTATACGGAAGGTGTTTCCGCAGTTGCGAAATAAAATCTACGCGTTATTGTGAGAAATTATATTTTATGATATTTTCAAAAAAATATTTCCAGGTAAGGGTGTAAGAATAGTGCTCTAAACGTAGGCAGATCAGAAGTGTTCAGGGATGTCCGAGGGCTGGCGCCTGCGTACTGTCTTGTCATAAGCCGTCACAAAAGGTGGTAACGCAGTCGATCTGACAGTCAAACGCAAATGTGTGAGCCAGCTTTTACGGGTTATTTTCCCGTGGCTTCGACTTTGTGGTTTGTTCTCTCTCTTTCTCTCGCTCTCATTGTGTCTACTGTCTAGCGGCTCGCCAAGCTTACTTCCAGCTTCGAGAAGATGCCTCCTTATGAATTCACCGACGCTTTGACTCGAGACTTAGCTTCGACAGTCATAAGTGGAGCTAGGTATGTTTACAATCACCAAGCGTGATTTAAAGGTTACTCCACCGCGTCATGTCAACAAATAATGGCGTTTTTTCCGTGGCTCCGACATCTGTATATGCAGATGCACAAACAAAACAATTTTATTACAGCGGAGCTGTTAAGGGCTAGTTTCCCCAGGATTGTGTCCGCCAGCAAATAAATGTCGGCACAACACTCCGGACAGCTACCGCCATATATAAGCGGCGGCAGCAAATAGACAACAGGCTTGCCGGTTGTCTGTTTGCCGCCGTCGCTCAAAGATGGCGGCAACCTTTCCAGCCTTTCCACTCTGGCTTGCCGACCTGCGGCCTTTTATCATTCCCATCATAGTAAAGCTTCGCTGGACTTCCTTCTTCACCAAAGCGGAGAGGCTGAAAGTGTTTTTTTTTTTTTATTAGTATCTAAAATTGCATCGCAATCTTAAGAAAAAAAAATAATCTATGTGATCCATTTAAAGTGTCATTGCACAATAGGATTCATACGGTGTAGATGATATGATCTTACTGATCGTCCGCATCGTCGGAATCATGTAGTACATGATGTCATGTTACTGGGCATCTGCACCGTCGAAATCATATGGTATATGATGTGACCTTACTGATCATCTACGCCGTTGGAATCAGGTGGTATACGCCTCGCAAGTGGGCTCATTTTCGTCTTCTGCGCATGAGAAAGGAAGTAGCGGTGACGTCAGAACGCCGAGTCCTGATTGGCTAATCGCGACCCCCTATTGAGCGTCGTCTGCTCCTTTGCAACGTCGTCTGCTCGCAACATCGTCTGCGTCTGTCTTACCTTTCCTGCGACTTTCGGAGCGAACTCGACTTGGCCTTTAAGGGAGGGCAGACGAAATAACTCGAGCGGTACGTTGTTTTCGTCTAACAACTAGCAGACGCGCATCAAGGAGGGAAGTCAAAGGACTTACTGGCGAGGTGTCCCGGGGCGCCGAGGTTTGTTTGCTCAGTGTCCGCAAGTTCCCTCCCAAATACTTTTTACCTCCATTCGTGTGCGGCGAGACCCCTCACTCTTTAACGGCGCCGGCGGGTTGGCGCAGTTAACGTCGCCTGCTTTACGTCTGCTAGTCAAAGCGATGGCTGCTTTACCTTTCCTGCGTCTGTCGGAGATTCGCCGCTTTTTCACCGGCGAGAGTCACCGTTGCCTCGGGAAACAAGGAGATAACAAGAGGAAGAAATTGACCTCTTAATCTAAAATTGAGTTCAGCGATCAAACTATAACACGGGAAGGGTTCACAAGGGTCGCGCGGGCATATTCCATTCAGCACGTCAGCCGGTCGTGGGCAGACGGTCGCCGAGTCGCGGAGTGCCTGCTAGGCCTAACTGCCCAGCTCGTTTGGTCGCGTTCGGTGGAATCGTCGCCGTTGGAGCTTTTCCCCGGTGTCTGTGGATCCAGCGTTCTTGTTCGTCGTGCTCTGTTTCAAGTAATTTTTACTTTTTTTTTTTTTTTGCTGCTTGAAGTCAGGACGCGTGAGAAGCTCACGTAGAAAAATAAACGTCCGTGGGTCGTCGCGACCGCGACGCAGTCGGCCATGCTGACTTGATCGTAAGAAGTGCGTAAGACAGCTTCGGAGCTGTCGTAGGATTTCGCCGTAACCTGCGCAAAACTTACGAAAATTTCGTTTCGTGAATACGAATTTGTTCTTAAGTTTTGTCTTACGCACATTTTTGGCGTAAGATCGCTTCGAGAATCTGGCCTCTGCACTTCCGAAAGTCGCAGGAAACGTAAGACAGACGCAGACGACGTTGCGAGCAGACGACGTTGCAAAGAAGCAGACGACGCTCAGATAGGGGGGCTCGATCAGCCAATCAGGGCTCGGCGTTCTGACGTCACCGCTACCCCCCTGCGCAAGGAGCAGACGAACTTGCCCTCCGCATAGGATGTGATTCATAGAGTTATTATAATGTGTGCTAGGGCTTCAACTGGCGCGAGAGTGCTGTTGCAAATCGAAGCACGGCAAAAATCGAAAATTGACTTCCGGTAATGCATTTTTATGGGGAAACGTGAGTGCATTTTCTCCCTGCGCTTGATTATACGAGCAGATATGGCAAATACCTCGTATGTACTAGATAGGAACTATTCTCAGTCGTGCAGACGAAAATATTGGTTAGTTACGGCTCTGTTCATTCGAATTCACGGCATTAAACACAGTGCTAAAACAGCTTCATACATGCATTTATATACGTGCACTGTCGGACACTGTCAGCGCGCACACAACGTCGGCGCTTTTCAGCGTGGGGGGATATACGCGCCAAACGAACGAAGGACCTCTGGAAAAACAAGAGAGACGGCAAAAGGTGCGCAATAACACTGGATCAGTAACTTTATGTGCGTGTAGACGATCAAAATTTATTGAAGGTCAAGTGATATAGTTTGATTTGCAGTAAATAAGTAATGCTTTATTCTTTCTGCTCATGAATATGTGCAAAGATGCTTGTTCTGCGTTCAAAACATCATCCGCACGTTCCAAATATTGGAAAATAGGGAGACGCCCGACAACCAGTGCCCGATATAAGCAGTGCGGTATAAGGAATAATGAAAAGATAAGAAACACCTTTCATAACCTACGCACCTTATAATTTTCGCTTTGAATGTGTTTAAACGCTCGTAAAGGTGCACAAAGTGGTGATTTTGATATATTGGCAGGACGGCCGTATTAGGAATAAATAAGCGCCACCGCAATGCTGGCGAACCTTGAACACACTTTACATTAATTTTGACTGTTGTTTTGCTTAGATTTCTCGCTCATTTTACACCCCTGTTATGGAACAGGGGTTCGGGCCCTAAATATAGCGAAGTTTAACACCGGTCACTGGGAAAGAAAAATACTGTAACTAACTAAAACATTTACACTTTTACAATGATCATAAAGATGCATACTATGATGACCGAAATAACAAAATGTATCCGTGTTATTTTCCGACGAAGAGACGAAATGCACACGCGTTTTTCCATTTGAATACGTAGGAGCACCGCAAAAGTAGACTGGCTGCTGTCTGGCTGCTTCAATAGGCCGATGGCACCAAGCGAATTGCGCAGGCGCGCGCATTCCGGATGTATTGCCGCCGCCATGCTACTTGTAGTCATCGGCTTCCGGCTTCCCGGCTGATTAGGGCTGATGTGGACGTACATCATAGTTTGGGAAGCCCTGGTATAAGCCATGGATTCTCCTGCATGTCTGTACTTCATTAGATTGTGTTGTTTGTGATGCCTTTGTTCGTCATCAAGCACAGAAAAACAGTTTCAGTCTTCTTATCGCTTTAGAATAATTTTGTCGTCTGCTTCGCCGTCGTCTGCTTCTTCGTCTTCGTGAACGCGCGAGAACCCACTGTGTTTTTCCCATTGCGACCGCGGGAAAAACACCGACGCCACTACTCTCTCGAGCACTCCGGCTGCTCCGACATCTCAATAAACTTGGAAACAAGTGAACATCTACTTCAATGTCAAAGAGCACAAAATTGGAGGGACCATCGGCTCGGTGTAGCGCTGCGGAACAGCGTCAAATCTGACGGTGGAATACTGACCTTTGTAGTGCACTGAATTGGGCATAACTTTTAATCGGCAATGAAGTAAGGCGAGCTAAATAGGCACTCTCGGGGAGTGATACTTTTCTAGAACTCGTTTTATTCTGGTTGAGAGATTTTGGGACAGAGTACAGATGAACTGCGGGGAGACGTCTGCACACAAAGAAGAAACGATCTACGAAAACATCATGCCTGACGCGCCGTAACAACTCGCATTTGTCAGAATGAACCAAACATGCGAGATAGCTGAAAACTTTGGGTAGAGATGAGCTTTGGTGTACAGCTTCTGTTCAGTTTTATTTTGTTTGCGCAAGTTCTGAACGGCAAGAGTTGCCCGATGGTGAATGATTTTTTCTGCTGTCTCAATTGGTGTTAATACAAAATGGATCAGTAACGACAGCAGAATCAGGTTGTGGCATAATGGCCCACCACATAGTGGATCCGGTTCGTTCGCTACCTTTTTTGGCGGTAGTGTTGTACTCCTAAATTGCATTGTGAAATGTTTTCACGTTTTGTTAAAAATGAAATTTAAAAAAAAAATTTAAAGAAATATTTTTTTATTTATATTTTAAGTTACACATACCGAGAGTCGCTGCTCTTTCTTTAGTGATAGTCCCGATTTTGTGAAGCACAGTTGTGCTCGAAACATGTCGTCGCAATAACAGTTGCGATGACCAAAGTACATCTAGCAAAAATTGTAATAAAAACGGCACCCGCAAGGCAGTGCGGGGGTCCCGATTGAGATAGACTAAAGGATATACCGCTCAGGGAGATTCCAACGTACGGAACGCCTTTGGCACGCCCTACAAAGTCTCGTACACTCTAATCTTACACTCTTTAGTTAGCGTGCAATGGGGTGAATATAAATTATGAAGCACATCACGAAACAAGTGAAAACAAAACGCTTTTTCCTGCCACTCTTCTCCCGCTCTCTTTATCATTTTTAGACGATAGTTTTGAATGCGGCTTTCATTTGGGAAGAAAAATTCCGATGCCTTTTTGCCTGGTGTGGTTATTGTAGCACCTTGGCACAAAACGGGTGGAGCCACCCATTAAGAACCGTGAGTAAACGCCCGATTAAAAGACTCGTGGACACCCGAAAATTTCTAAACGCCGGGCGGACAACGCGCACTGACGCTACCGGAAAACTGGGGAGAACTACAGTTACCAGAATGCACCGCGGCAGCGGTGGCGTCTCTCAACTCCTAGTGAGATCGGCCGGAAGTCGCGTAGACACTAGCACCACTTGAAACTCTAGCGTACATTATAATAACTCTATGATCTGATTTCTTTAGTACCTGCGCCGTCTGAATCATGTGATATATAATTTGATCTTACAAATCAATTTCATTTCTTTTTCCTCCTATTTTTCGGCGCAGCCTTCCGCTCAACAACGAGAGCTACGTGGTCAGCTTCGGAAACTGCGTCACCTCCGTGCTCGTGGCAACAAGTACGCCCAGCGGCCCGGCCTCCAGGTCCAGAGACGTTAGTCCTAGCTCTTCCATACGGAGGTCGCGCCTCAGCATCGTCGCCGAGGACATCAAGCCAGGTGGCGGCGGTGGCAGTGCGGTCCGCGCCGACTCTGTGGAAGAGCAGTTCACCGCGGTCAGCCCCGACAACCCGCTACTGCCGAGCATCAAGGTGACGAGCTTCTGAGACGCCGGCGATCGCTGTGGGACGCCTTCTCAAGTACTTCTGTGGACAAAAAACAGTGATGTGGGAGGCCCTGGTTATAGGATTTCCAGATGACAGTGTAAGTTTTAGGCTGCCCAACTGTGGGTTTGGGTGATATACATATGCGTACGGAGAGATGGCTGTGGGACGCCTTCTTTAACAACTTCTGTGGACAAGAAAGAACGTTGTGGGAGGCTCTCGTCATAGGATTTCGAGATGACAGTGCAAAGTTTATGCTCACCTCCACTGTGGGTTTTTGTTGATATATATATGTATATGTGTGTATATATTCGTACGAAACTGCAATCGATTTTGTTTTTATGCATGTTTACTTTGTTTCCGATGAACCCGGATGATGGAGTAAGCACCTTCTAAGAAATTTTGTGCGTCTATTTTTTCGCAAGGCATTTGAGAGCCAATGCAGAGAGCAAGTTCGTCTGCATCCTGCGCAGGTGTTCCAACGACGTCAGAACGTCTAGCTCTGATTGGCTGTGATTGGAAGAATAGGAGGTAGAGCTCAGTGATAGATGCGTTAAGGTCTACCTACTATCCTTTCAATCGGAGCCAATCAGAACGCTGCGTTCCGAAGTCTCCGCAACCCCTACGGAAGAAGCAGACGAACTTGCGCCGTTCATAGCTGCAATCTACAAATCAAGCTGGGCGAATGACGAGGCTTGAAGTATGTTTATTTCGACCTAGAAAAAGTATAGGCTCTTTTGACATTCAGCGTGCTGAAATATCATGCTCGTTGTCACAGCGCAGGATGGTTTGTAGGCCTGGAGATATTGTTATAACTTGACATTCTCTGCGTATATTGCAGCCATTGACTCTCTCATGCGATTTGTGAGAATGTAGACGCTTCGGATTTCTAGATTGCATAATTTAAGGTATACCTCTGACATATTTCGACCAAATCAATCCTGTTTGATTTTTTGTGGTAATGTGGTTGCGTAAAACTGTCCTTGAAAGCGCGTTTTTAAGGTCTTAAAAGGTGCAGGAAACACGTCAATTTACGTTGAAAACATGCTGCAACTTCAGAGAACCTATCTACGCTTGACTTTAGGCAGGGTTGTCGATATCTGTTAGTTAGATTAAATACATTATTTTAAAAAAGTAATTTTCAACAGGCGTTCACTTTAAACAGCTACACGAAAGAACAGTGCAAATAGGAATTCTCCCGAATCCTGGGTCGTATTACTTCAATTATTCCCAAAGAATACAGTATATTTACACTTTAATCAATAAACTTCTTTCCAACCAATGTAAACAAAAATGACCTGAGCACGATGGAGTTAGTCATTTGTCTGATAAGATACATTAAAAACCTCGTGCCCAGGTTCCGATATCATCAATTATACTGCCATCTAGTGTGCTGCTTCGTGAACCCGGGATGTCTTATTTCTGTTTTAACTTAGCGTGAGATAAAAACGAGTCGTTACAATTGTTTGACTAAGACATACACACACACACAGCTCAACGCCGCTGGCCTTGTTTGCGTCTTCTACCATAAAGCAAACTTTCATTTCATTCACTGCGCGACAAGATTAGTAGACACGCCAAACGCACCTTGGTCGTAATATATCTTACACTCGAAAATCCATTAAATCGCTAACTAGGCGTAAAATTTATTTAATTTAATGATATCGATTTTGTCTTTATTTATTTATTCACAAGGAAACCTTCATTACCGTTTTGGCATTATTGTAGGGTACGTTCTGTACAGAACTTTTCTCGTTGTCAAGACTATTACTTTATTTTTATTTAGCACAAATAAAAACTAAAAGTAATATCAGACAAAACTCGCGTAATACTAAAAGTATTTATAAGAAAAACACACATAGACAAACACGCACGCACACACACACACAAACACACACGCAGGAAAGTACAAATTTACCATGAAACACCACTTTCCAAATTAGGCAAAAACACATCCTTCGGCAATTGGTTCCACTCTTCGATTGTTTTTTGGAAAAAAAAAAACGAAAAGGCAACAATATCAGTACAAAAAGAGTAGGGTCAAAATTTTGTTGGGTTGTCTACTCTTCTCGATACATAAAAAGGATCATATATAGAAATGTGTCCCTGCGGATTGGGAGACGATTGTGATATGTATTACCAAGACATTTTAACCTAAAATATTTCTTCGTTCGCTAAGTGACTCCCAATTGAGGGTTCCCATCATACTGGTGACACTCACTCCAAGTTGATAATTATTCAAAACAAATCAAGCACACTGTTTCTGAAATTTTTCAGGTTCGTCTATTAGATTATTGTAGTGGGGGTCCCACACAATTGACGCGTGCTCCATACATGGGACAATAAAAGTAAAATGCGAAGTTTCCTTCGTTTTGATTGATCCCTGTCCGAAATTTCGTCGTATAAAGTTAGGCGTACATACTGCCTTTAGGGTATCATATCTCCATGCGCTTTTGACGTTAAATTACTAGACAGCATAACATCCAAGTACTGTACACTTGATTCAGTTTTAGTCATTTTTTTATTTACTGTATAGTTAGATGAAATGAGACATATTTTTCTAGTAAATCTCATGTGCACACACTTCTTAACGCTTAGATTCATCCTTCGAGTGGAGCACCATTTGGAATTTTTTGTCCATATCGGCCTGTAAGAGATTGATATTGTTCACATACCTAATTACCCTATAAACAATGCAGTCATCTGCAAATGATCTTATATTTATTGAATTATATTGGTGATATCATTAATATATACCAGGAATAGCACAGGACCCAAGTGAGAACCCTGGGGGATACCAGAAGTGATACCTACATATTACGATTTTTCAGCATTTAGTACCACACATTGCTTTCGCTCGCTCAGGTAGTCCGGGAGCCAAGCTAATAGATTATTGTCAATTGAGAGTAGGCTAAGTTTTTAAAATAATAATTCGTGGTTCACAAGATCCAATGATTTTCTGAAATCTAGAAAAAAACAGTCAACATCGTGAAAAACGTCAACAAGAATAGTGCTGCAGGATGTCCCAGAACAAAGTCCGTGCTGAACTCGGATAAGAGAATTGTCTATGTTTAAGTGAGAAATCAAGTTACAATAAATCACATGTTTCATAATCTTTCAGCTTGTACGCCCTAAAGTGATCGGCCTGTAATTTTCCGCAGTTTTTGGATCCTGATTTATGCACTTGTACCACATTTGCTATCTTCCAATCGGATGGAAGTTTTTTGTCTCTTAAAAGGGCACTGAAGTCGATTCTGAGATTTTCCTTTTGTGGTAACAACTCGAGCTAGACGCTTTAAGCATCCCAACAACCCCAAAATCACAATCGTGCGTAGCTTATTTGCTCGTTAAAAGCGTGTTCAAAGATCGCGACACTCCCTTTTCCGGAAGAATTTCCTTCCGAGTGAACTGGTCGTCGAAGGGCGCTTGTTGGCGAGTTGCAAGCGATGGCTTCTCCCGCGGCGAAAAAGAGGAGTCTTATCAGAGTGTGTACCTATCAGACTCTCTTCGAAACGAGTTATTATAAAATCATTCGAAATCTGCGCGTATTGTAGGGCTTTCATTGTTCCACACACTGTAGTCCGCGAGAAAAAGAGAGTCCACATGTTTTTCTCTTGCCGTGAGATGAATAGGCGGTTTTGTAATATAGAACTAGGAATGGGCGGAAATTAACATCTTTTAAACAATAAAAGATTAAAAGCGATATTTTTCACAAATGACTTCAGTACCCCTTTAAGGATTTTTTAAAGAGCACAACACCAATACTCTCCCAGTTCCGCGGAGCAGTTTTTCCCTATAAACGGTGAAATAATATCTGGCCCGGTTGCCATTTCTACATCATATTCTTGTAATAATAAGCCTATCCCGTTATACGTAATCTCGATCGGTGACATCACATGTTCCATGACTGTTGTATCAGCAAGATTCGTCAACACTTTCTTCGGGGTAAATAACACAGAATGGGAAACCGGACCTTTGATTTCCACGAGGGCAAACTCTCCTTGCATATATTCCGGACAGTCGGCATTTTGAAATTACTACTACTACTTTACTCGCCTAGTACTACAACCTTTCCAGCGTTAATCACCCAAGAGAAGAATGCTGAGACACTGGGCCGTCGACGGATACACGGCGTCTGATATTTTGAAGAAGACCGTTACCGCGCATGATCAGAACGCGTTTCACAGCCCAGTATACAAAGATGGCAGCACACAGACGGCGAGTGTTGGAATCGTCTGTAGACTAAACAGCCCTTCTTCGAAACAGCGAAAAAGACGTCAGAGACTAAGTATGACTTTTCAACGCTTGTTTGTTTGTTTGGTTCTCAAAAGATGAACAATCTAACGTTGTTAAATGTTGACGTTGACGCTGTTTGGAGCGCATGCTCGGAATAAGGTCACATTAATAGGCTGCTCAGGCCAGACACATTGACGGTGTAGAATACACGCTGCACATGAAATGTGGAAGCTTGCCATCAGCACGCGCTCAACCGTTGCGTAGACTAAAGTCACTGAATCTTGGGAAAGTGGCGCCATTGTTTTTCCCGTCTGTTAGCCGGACACAAACAGATATTAACGTACCGACGTCCGAAACTTCGCAAGGTGATTGGCTGATCAGTTTTTGTTGCCATGGCAATTGTAATTTCGGTTCTTTCAAATCTTCGAACCTTCAAAAGGGTTGTTTTGTACAGGTCGCGCCAAGATCGCTATGGACCTTCATCGTACTGAAAGCGTTCTTCGTCAATATAAGCGTCCTTGGCACTGTGTGTCCAATCATGTTATCAATCCTGCCTATGTCCATACATCTCTTATAACTATAGTTCTTCTTGCGTATTTTGAAACAGGGAAATTACTTCTCAATGCCTCCAAGCACCGACGCCGCATGTGGTGACGACGCTAAGCTAAATCTCGGTATACAAGACATGTTATAAAGCAACCTGCCGATCAAGGGGAATTTGAATCGGCTCACCAAGAATGAAGAGGTCAAAGAGAAACTGCTCATTT